CGCCACGCGTCTCCTGGGCCGCCGCCCGCCGCGCCCGGGGCGCTGCCTTGATGCGGCCGAGCGGCCGGCTGCGAGGCTCCGTGAGCACGGCGATACCCGCGCCGCCTCCAAAGCGCTCCGCAGACGGCGAGACGCGCACCAGGAGACTTGCAAACAACCGCTCGACCGCGCGCCCGCTCGCAGAAAGAGCCGAGGCCTGGGGGCGGGACAGAAATAACTGGCGCCGACGCCGCCGCGCACGCGCGCTGGGCACCGCACGCCCGGGGGCGGGGCTCGGGACCGTGGCCACAAGCGGTGCTGGCAATACGCAGGCGCGCGGCACCCCAGCCTTCCCACCGCGGGACTGCCCGTCCTCTCTGCACAGGGTGCGGAGAGCACACCCCCCCCCTCGGCCTGTGTGGCGAGACCGTGGATACTCAGCTAGCCAGTGTAGCACGTGGTGACTCCTCCCAGCTCCTTTGCACGGTGCTACGAGCCAGGCCTAGGATGCCCGAGAGCACCGGGTTGTGCAAATCCACATTTCAAGCCCCGCCCCCCTGGGGGCATGGCAACGTCTCCAGCCGCTGCTGCACCAATAGTTCGGGCGAAGGGGCGGGTCCAAGGCGCAAGTGGGTGGAATCAAGGCCGAGCGACCGATCTGAGCCCAGGTGGAGGGGGCGTAGGGTCTTTAGCTGGAAGGAAGTTCCCCTTTGAAGGCAGAGGCAGACTTAGTTTTAACTTTTTTATTGTTAAAACTTAAAAACTTGCTCAAATCAAATGTAAACAACAAAGACCTACACAGTAGCCCTTCTGTACAACCCGGCTCACTCCTCCAAGAAGCCCCTTGTTAAGTCCTTTGCTATCCTGATTTTGATGTTTTTGCAGATGGGCCAACTGAACGCCTTAAAGTGGAGAGAGAGAAGTTGGATCCGGGTAGGGAAGGGAGAAAGGAGTTGGATGAGGAGGAACCCTGTCTGAAGAAAGGAACTGGATCTGGGGAGAAAAATCCAGTTTGGTGGAGGCGGGGTGGAGTTGGGTATAGTCTTCTGGAAGCAGGATCTGGGCGGACAGGATCAGTATGAAAAGTGCAACCTGCCTGAGGACCTGCACCCCAACCCCCAACCCCCAAGGAGCAGAAAATGCGAGGGTGGACGCCTCCCGGATGGGCCTCTGCACGCTTTACTATAGACAGGGAGCCCCGACCGCCAGCACGGGTCCGGACCGCCGTGGGTGGCCCGCAGGCAGTTCCGGGACCCAAAATGGTTTGCACCGGCCGGCGGCGAACGGAGCGCAGCGACTCCAGATGTGCACACGTGGCGGCGGCGAGGCGAGGCGTGTCCCGCCACTGCACCGGGTGTGGCCTTTGTTCCCAGCCCGGCTGGGGGCCCTGGGTTTTGTCCCCGCCCCCGTCTTTGTTCCATCCCCCGGAGTTCGGCGCCCACCCTTCCGCGGGCCACGCCTCCACTAGGCCCAAAGGCTGGACCCTCATTTCCTACCTCTGAAAATCTAGACTGAAGTCTCTTGGCTAACTGCACCATGAGGCCTGGGCATCCTTATTGAGTTTTTTCCATGACCCCAACCTGGTGTTGAGCCCCAGAAATCACCGAGGGAAGGGACCGCTCTCTCTGGCCCGCACCTACCAAGACCCCTGTCTCAATTTGAGTGCAGAGGACACAAGGTCAAAATAAATCGGGAATAGAGCGCTTGCCTACAGGAAGCCCTGAGTTTCTTCCCCAGCACTCCTGCTCTGTCCATAAAACAAGTGATGGGACCTGCGAGATGGCTGAGATGTTTGCCACTTTAGTCCGACCTGAGTTTAGTCCCAGAGACCCTCAAGAGAACCTACTCTTTCCTGTTGTCCTCTGGTCTCCATACGCTCTCCCAGGCACATACACATACAACGTAACTATTTTTTTTTTTTTTTTTTTAGGGAGCTGGAGAAATGGATCAGCAGTTAACAGCAGGTATTGACTGCTCTTTCAGTGGATGGATTTGGATTCCCAGAGCCCATGCAACACCCCACAACCCGCCGGAACTCCAGCCTCTGGCCTCCAGGGGCAGCTGTAGTCAAGTGCACAAACCCACAACACAGGCATACACTAATACACACTATTAAAAACAATAAAAATCAAGCTAGAGAGATGGCTCAGCGGTTACGAGCACCAACTGCTCTTGCTGAGGACCCGGGTTTGATTCCCAGCACCCACATGGCAGCTATGAATGGTCCTTGACTCCAGTTCCAGGGGAATCCGAAGCCCTCTTCTGACCTCTACAGCACTGCATGACCGAGTGCACTCACATACGTGCAGACAATACACTCATACACATAAAAATAATAATAAATATATTTTAATAATAGTAAAAATCAGGACAGGGTGCGGTGGAGCATGTCTCAGGACTCAGGAGGCAGAGGCAGGTGGATCTCTGTGAATTCCAGGCCCGCTGGGGCTACTGGGAGACCCTGTCTCAAAAAGTGAAAAAAGAAAAAAAAAATTATATATATATATATATATCCCAGTCCTCTCAAAGCAGAAGCACACCGGGTATGGTGGTACACACCTTTGAGCCCAACAGGCAGCAGAGGCAGGCAAATCTCTGTGAGCTCTAGGCCAGCCTGGTCTTAAAAAAAAAAAAGAGAGACCAGAGGATCATGAGTTAAAGATCATCCTCAGCTACATAGGAATTCCAGATTAGCCAGGGATGTATGAAACTGTTTTTGTTTTTTTTTAAAAAAAATAAAAAAATAAAAAGGGAGGGGTTGGAGATTTAGCTCAATGGTAGAGTGCTTGCCTAACAAGCACAAGGCCCTGGGTTCAGTCCTCAGCTCCCGGAAAAATAAAAAGACAAAATTGTTTTATTTTTTTTGGTCTTTTTGAGACAGGGTCTCTCTGTAGCCCAAGCTTGCCTGGATTCCCTATGGAGACTAGGCTGGCCTCGAACTCTCAGAGATCCGCCTGACTCTGCCTCTCCAGTGTTGGGATTAAAGGCGTGTACCACCACTCCTGACCAAAAAAAAAAAAAGACAAAATTTTTTTTAAAAATGGAAAAGTGGGATGCTCTTCTGCTAGGAAATCAGTCTCTCCACTCCAAGTGGCTGAGGAGTTACAGATATAAAGTAGGGAGAGAGGCTAGTAGTCAGGAAGAATATTTTTCTAGAACTAGGTCAATATTTTGCAGTAAATCTAGGGTATTACTTAAAGAATTTTAATTAATTTGTATAACACAGTATTTACTGGATGAAGGGGTGTGGTGTGCACTTCACAGAGCATGTGTGGCAGAGACCATCTTGCGGAAGCTGATGGTCCTGGGAATCGAACTCAGGTCGTCAGGCTTGGTGGCAAGCACCTTTGCCTCCTCAGCCACCTCACCAGCTCAGGTACTTTTCCTTCCATTCAAGGTCTTGTGTTTCTGGTCATGGCAGCTGGCAAGAGTCTTTAGCACAAAGATTAAGGACACAAAGAAAGACACACTACAAAGAGGTGTCCAGGCCCAAGTGAACAGTCATATTTTGTTTTGTTTTAGATTCATTTGGTTTTGATTTTTGTTTGTGGTTGGTTGATTGATTTTCATTTTGGGGTGGACACGGTCTCATGTAGCTCAAGCTGGCCCAAGAAACTTAGGATGACCTTGAACTGACCTTCCTACGTAACCCGCTTCCCAAGTGCTTATATGATTACTGTGTTATCACACCCTGCTTTTTGTTTTGTTTTGTTTGTGAGTGTCATGTGAGTTCAAGGCCAGCCTGATCTACATAGAGAGTTCCAGGCCAGCTGAGGCCACAGGGAGACCCTGTCTCAAAAAAAAAAAAAAAAAAGAAAAAAAAAGTCAGTGCCACCACATGACCCTAGGTGGGTTTTTTGGGGTTTTTTTTGTTTTGTTTTGTTTTGTTTTGTTTTTAAAGAAAATTCTCAGCTGGGCGTGGTGGTGCACATCTGTAGTCCCAACACTTGGGAGACAGAGGCAGGTGGGTTCAAGGCCAGCCTGGTCTACATAGTGAGTTCAAGGCCAGCCTGTGAGTTCAAGACCAGCCTGGTCTACATAGTGAGTTCCAGGCCAGCTGAGGCTACAGGGAGACCCTGTTTCAAAAAGACCGCAAAAAAAAAAAAAAAAAAAAAAAAATTCTCATGTAGTCTTGTAGCTGGGGATGAACTTGAAGTGCTGATCCTCCTGCCTCTGCTTCTCTAGTGCTGGGATTACAGGTATACCCCACCAAGCCCAGCTATAAATTCATTTTCCAGCAGTCACCTTCAAGTTCTAATCAGGGAACTGTTATCACAACCTACTATCTATCTGTCTCAAAGTGGTTGGAAAGTACAAAGTATTGCTCAGCTGTTTGACCTCCAAAAATAGTGACTGTGAGAAAGAGATAGAGAGACCCTAAGTAGCCCTGGTTGACTGGGAACTCACTATGTACACCAGACTGGCCTTGACCTCCCAGAGATCAGCCTGCCTCTGCCTCCAGAGTTCCACCTGCCTCTGCCTCCAGAGTTCCACCTGCCTCTGCCTCTAGAGTGAGTGCTCAGATTAAAGCCCTTCACCACCACACCCTGCTTTTGTTTTTTTTGTTTCTGTTCTTCGTTTTTTTTTGGTTTGTTTTTTGTTTGTTTGTTTGTTTGTTTTGGTATTTTTGAGACAGGGTCTCCCTATAGCCCCAGCTGTCCTGAAACTCACTATGTTGACCAGGCTGGGCTTGAATTTACAGAGATCTGCCTACCTCTGCCTCCCTAGTGCTGGGATTAAAGGCGTGCGTCACCACGCCCGGCTTTTTTTATTTTTTTACAAATGAAATTTTTATCAAGAAAAGACAGGCTGGAGAGATGGCTCAGAGGTTCAGAGCACTTAATGGTCTTGCAGAAGATCCAAGTTCAGTTCCCAGAACCCACAGTTGGTAGCTCATAAATG